AATGATTTTGAGTTTTGTTCCACATTGTTCTCCCTCTCTATCAAGGATCTCCAACATAGATCCCCTTCCAAGTGGTTGACAGTGGTAGCCGGGCACCATCTAGTTCTTCTGGTCTCATAGTTGTATAGGTGCTGCCACCATTTTTGAATTATCTTTAGTAAAATTTTACTTGCGTGCGATGTTAATGATATTGTTAGATAATTTTCACATTCTGTGGGATCACCTTTCTTTGGAATGGGTACACATATGGACCTCTTCCAGTCAGTTGGCCAGGTAGCTATCTTCCAAATCTCTTGGCATAGCCGAGCGAGTGCCTCCAGTGCAGCATGTTTTTTGAAACATCTCAATGGATATTCTGTCAGTTCCTGGAGCTTTGCTTTTCACCACTTCCTTTAATAGCTTCAACTTCTTCCTTAAATACTGTTGGTTCTTGATCATATGCTGCCTCCTGAAATGGATGAATATTGACCAATTCTTTTTGGTATAGTGACTGTGTATTCCTTCTGTCTTCTGATATTTCTTGCATCATTCACTGTATTGCCCATAGAATCTTTCAATATTGCAACTCAAGGCTTAAATTTTTTTTTTCAGTTCGTTCAGCTTGAGAAATGCCGAACGTGTTCTTCCCTTTTGGCTTTCCAACTCCATGTCTTTGCATGTTTCATTACAATAATTGACTTTGTCTTCCTGAGCTACTCTTTGAAATCTTCTGTTCAGCTCCTTTGTCATTTCTAGCATTTGCTTTAGCTACTCTTCATTCTAGGGCAAGTTTTAGAGTCTCTTCTGATGCCCATTTTGGTCTTTTCTTTCTTCCTTGTCTTTTTAATGACTTTTTGCTTTCTTCGTGGATGATCTTGACGTTATCCCCCAGTTCCTGTGGGTTTCGGTCATTGGTGTTCAGTGCATCAAATCTGTTCTTTAGATGGTGTCTAAATTCAGGAGGGATATAATCAAGGCCGTATTTTGCCTGTTATGGACTTGTTTTAATTTTCTTCAACTTCCCCTTGAACTTGGCATTTGAGCAGTTGATGGTCTATTCCACAGTCAGCTTTATATATAGAGAGTTAAATATAAACAAGCAAAATATAAACAAAACATAATTTATATATAGATGATGGGATAATAGGTGTTCATAATACTAGTTTTCCAACTTTATGTTTGAAAATTTTCATGATGAAATTGAAAAAAAAAAAGTAGAAGCTTTTTTCATGTGTTTGTCTCAGAATGCATGGCATCAATGAGTATAATTATTGCCCTAGCATGAACTGGAGTGTTCTTCTTATTCTGGACAGATGAGAGAACAAGAGAGGCAAGCTTCTGGTGGTGGAGAGATGTTTTTTATGCGTACACCTCAGGACCTCACAGGCAAAGATGGAGATCTTATTCTTGCAGAATACAGTGAGGAAAATGGACCTTTAATGATGCAGGTTGGCATGGCAACCAAAATAAAAAACTACTATAAGCGGGTAAGTCTGTGCTGCTTGGAAAATCTTTATTATTAATATAGCATTAGTTATCCAATGATAATCTGTGAATATGTACTTTTTGTTCTTTATACTAGAAATTTCTTGGGAGAAAGGAATGTTAACTTTTTTGTGGTTTGTCACAATAATAAAGTGCCATGCTTATGAGATATTTTGTATAGGCTTATTGATTATACTATTCTGTGGTAGTAACTGGATCTTGCTGTGTTCTTTATAGAAACCTGGAAAGGATCCTGGAGCCCCAGATTGCAAATATGGGGAAACTGTTTACTGCCATACATCTCCTTTCCTGGGTTCTCTCCATCCTGGCCAGTTACTGCAGGTGATGAATTCTTTCCCTGTTAATAACTCTGTGCTAAGGAAATTGATAGATAAGGAGCTAGTCAACCCAGAAAGAACTAGTTGAATGAGATGGTGTTGAAACATCAAATGCGGAAAATCAGTATAGTCCAAAAATGATTATAGTTGCATATGACCTGTTTTTAAAAAATCATTTTATGTACACGTGGCCTCTAATTGTGTTATTCTTAGGCTAAATTTAAATTAGTTTTTTTGAAATGGACACTGGTGAGAAGCCCAGAAATACCTGAGTGGCATAGGGAAGTCAACCTGTGAATAATAATTTCTTATACTTATTTTATGAATGTCTAATTTGTATGTATCCAGTTGCTACATTGTGGTCATTTGTGAGTTTTGAACCATACCTGCACTTTGCCATCTACAGTCCCCAACCATAGGGCAGTGCGTTTTGTTTTTCCTTTGTTTTGATGGGTGTAGAGGGTCCATCTGGTAACTTGACTTACATACTTTTGTTAAGGGGAAGTACATATGTCCACCATTAATGAGAGGAAATCTCTAGCACTCTTCTACTTTTTTTTTCCGTTTCTTTTCTCTTCACAATCTTAACCATTTTTCCTAGTCTTGTACTTAGTTTATTCCCCTATCATCATTGCTTATTTTCCTAAAGCATCTGCAAAGCCTGTTTTCTCTGGAGTGATATAAATGGTTAAGCACTGAGCTAACTGAAAGATTGGTGGTTCAAACCCACCTAGAGGTACCACAGAGGGAAGGCCTGACGATCTGCTTCTGAAAAACATGGAGTGCAGTTCTATTCCTCTTTTTTCTTTTTGTTGTGATTTGAGTGAAAGATCAAATTGGTTTTCCATTTAACAAGTCATACACATTTTGTTTCATGAAAAGTGCAGTTCTATTCTGAAAACCTGGGGTTGCATGAGTTGGAATCAACTCAGTGGCAACTGGTTTGGTTTGGGTTTTATATCTATAGTCTGTTTTCCACAGGATTTTGAGCATAATCTCTTGGCATTTCCTCTCTCTATAACCTTCTGTTGAGGTTTTCTACTAATCCATCCCCTTTTGTGGCTGCTTTGGTAATCTCTCTTTTATTTTTCCATTTAATTAGATAATTTTTGCTTTACTAGTCTTTTAAAGCTCCTTTTGTATCTTCTCCTGTTGTTCTTTTTATTACCTGTTTCACATTGCAACCCTCTGCCTCCCCAGGCATCCACATAGTGAAGATCCTCCCTTTTTCTGTCCACTCTTCTGTTCTGAGATTTAGGCTTCTTGTTGATCCCAACCTGGCTGCTATTTAAACTAATTTACATATTTCTCTCCTATTCTCTCTTTGTGTTTAGTTTGTCCTCTTTAGCATACTTCCTGCCTCATCGTTTTTTTTTTTATTTTATAATTCACTCATTTATTCAGCAGATATTTGGATCTCACCTGTTGTGTGATAGAAAAGAAAATCAGGTTTAATAAAGTAGAGGGCCAGTGAAAATGAGGGAAATCATCAGTGAGATGGATTCACGCAATAGCCACGATAAATTTTTCAAACATACCAGTGATGACGAAGATAACACAGAACCAGACAATATTTTGTTCTGTTTTACGTGGAATCACCATGAGTTAGAGCCAAATCAGTGACAACTAACAACACCAAGAATTGTGTTTCAGGGGCTATGCTGGAATTAGTGGTAGTAGTTTAGTACTTGTTAGATTATAAAGTAATTTTTATATATAATCCTCATAATAGTCCTGTGAAGTATGGGCATTTTAAGTATCTATATTTTATAGGTGAGGAAAATTAAGCTCAGTGATGTCTGATATCATACAGAGCCATTGTGACTTCACTCCAAATCATGTAGTTTCTCGATACCCTGTTTTCTATTTTCATGTTATAATTTATTTATGTTACTGCATAGGTCATATGAGAATAGAGAGCAAACAAGCTCAGCTTTTCTTTCTTTTCAGATACTGAATTTCCTAAGGCTTCTTTGTATATAATTTTTACATATTTTTACTCTTGTTAGGCATTTGAGAACAACCTTTTTCGTGCCCCAATTTATCTTCATAAGATGCCAGAAACTGACTTCCTGATCATTCGAACAAGACAGGGTTACTATATTCGGGAATTGGTGGATATTTTTGTGGTTGGCCAGCAGTGCCCCTTGTTTGAAGTTCCTGGGCCCAATTCCAAGAGAGCCAATACACATATTCGAGACTTTCTACAGGTAAGGATAGAGGAGTAAGGATGGAGTCAGGGTGCACACAAGGGTATGTGGGTTTGCAGGCACAACAGAAAGATCATAACACATTGGGGTTTAGCAGAAGAAGGGGCCCTGTTGTGGACCTTCCTCCTTTACTTTGCCAAGTGAAATGCGTTTCCTTTGTTGGACAGGTTTTTATTTACCGCCTCTTCTGGAAGAGTAAAGATCGGCCACGGCGGATTCGAATGGAAGATATAAAAAAAGCCTTTCCATCCCATTCAGAAAGCAGCATCCGGAAGAGGCTAAAGCTCTGCGCTGACTTCAAACGCACAGGTTATCAGTTGTGTGTAATTATTTGTCCTCTCTAAAGCTTTCCAAGAAAAAAATTTTGATGACTCTCAGTAAAGGGTTTATGTTGTTCTTGTTATGTGCCATCGAGTTGGACCTGACTCAGCAACCCCTCCTTGGGTTGCCGAGGCAGTATCACTACAGAAGTAGATTGCCCAACCTTCCTTCCAAGGAGTGGCTGGTGGGTTTGAACCGCCAGCCTTCTGGTTAGCAGTCAAGTGCCTTAGGCACTATGCTACCAGAGCTCCTAGTAAAGGGTAAGCATACCAAAAAAAAAAAAAAAACCAAGCTCATTGCTGTCGAGTGGGATCCGACTCATAGCGACTCTTCCTTGGGTTTCTGAGGCTGTATCACTATGGCAGTATGTTGCCCAGTCTTCCTCCTGAGGAGTGGCTGGTGAGTTTGAACCACCAGCCTTTGGTTAATAGTCAAATGCTTTAGGCACTATGCCACCAGAGCTCTCAAAAGATCAGCATATAGTTAACAAAACAGAAACAGAGATTGATGGCCAGTGAAAGGAGGAAATAGTCTTCTCACTGGAGGCTCTGATTACTTTTTTGATTTTGGCTACCAGCAAATTCAGTGTGATCGATATCAGGTTTTTCCTAATGCTGAATTCCAAGAGGGATGTCTTAGATGTAGGAAGCCTAGAAGCAGAGTCTGTCTTGGCCAGACAGTCATGTAACTGGCTAGACCTGTACTTAATATCACTCTTGCTATCAATGAGTGTTAGGACCTTTGGAATTTAGAGTAATCTCATTCTCCCTCTCTGTATCTTTTCCAGGGATGGACTCAAACTGGTGGGTGTTGAAGTCTGATTTCCGTTTACCAACTGAAGAGGAGATCAGAGCTATGGTGTCCCCAGAGCAGTGCTGTGCTTATTATAGCATGATAGCTGCAGAACAGCGACTGAAGGTGAGCACCTTCCACCTAGCCAGCTTATGTCAATGAGATGAGGGAGAAGACTCTTGTCACTGACTTAAGAGATGATGGTTACTAGATTATTGCCAATTACTAAAAAATTCAAACTATGAGGTGCTCTCTGTGTACATCACTTCTGGGGGAATTGGTTGTAGTTAAATATCAATGGGAAGGCTTAATGAGGGACTTTTTGGGCCTGTTGCTTTACTTTGAATATGGTTGCTCATCCATTTGGGTGGTGGTTTTAATTTTTCTTTGTAAGACATATGTGTAAGCAGGGTAAGTACTTTTGTCAGTTTCTCACATCTTCTCAGGTGGACAGAGATGAAGGTGGTACTGGAGGTGTAGTTTAGAGAGAAGCACAGTATCTTTATCATGCCAAAAGAACTGTCCAGCTAGAGTGGGTCAGCACAGCACTATATCACTGACTTAATGAGTCTGAGATGATAAACATTTCTTTTTAGCTTTTTTATGGGCCCTGATTCTCCATTTATCAGTCGTTGTCTTCTAATAGCCTTTGTTGTTGTTGTTGTTATTTGCCGTCGAGTCGGCCCCGACTCATAGCGACCCCTCCTTGGGTTTCCGAAGCAGTATCACTACGGAAGTAGGATTGCCCAACCTTCTTTCCGAGGAGTGGCTGGTGGGTTTGAACCGCCAGCCTTCTGGTTAGCAGTCAAGTGCCTTAGGCACTATGCTACCAGAGCCTAAGGATATCTAATATTGGTGGCTTTACAGATTCATTCTCTATGCAAAATACGCTTCCATAGTCTGTACTTGATATTCAGTAAAACTCAGGCTTTGTGTTTATCAATCGATTGATTGATTTATGGATGGATTTGTTGTCTTCCAGGATGCTGGCTATGGTGAGAAGTCCTTTTTTGCCCCAGAAGAAGAAAATGAGGAAGATTTCCAGATGAAGATTGATGATGAGGTAAGGTTTATACTGATTTTTAGAAATACTTTATTAATTTGTTTTTATGTTTGATTTACCTGAATTTTATTTTTCTGGAAATGTGGCTTTAAGCAAGAAAATAGAGATGCAAAGAATCTCAGTGATAAAGGGCAGGGCTGACTTCATGAGTGCAGAACCTATGCAGTCACGTAAGGCCCCATGCTCAGAAGGTCTCACACTTGGTTTATTGCTCTGCTATGAACATGTTGAAATTCTTAATCATTTTTAATGCACTTTATTGAACTATAATTTATGTACAGTGAAATACACACAACTAAAGTGACATGTCAGTGCATTCTTTTCTTTTTTTTGCAGTGTTCCCTCTCCTCCCCTCCCACCCCTAGCAACCAACAAAGAAAGTTTCCTTCCATATATAAACTTTTCCTCGACCCTCCACAACAATGAACTAATACTGTATTTCTTCCTCTGTGATTGACTTACTTCACTCAGCATAGTGTGCTCCAAGTTCAGCCGTGTTGTGCGGTGTTTTGCTGACTCTACGTTATCTTTAGTGTTGCATAGTATTCCACTGTGTGTAGGTACCATAGTTTGGTTACCCATTCTTCTGTTGATGGACACCTAGGTTGTTCCCATCTTTTTCCTATTGTAAATAGTACTGTGATGAACATGAGTGTGCATATATCTGTTTTTGTCATGGCTCTCACTTTTCTAGATATATATCTAGTAATGGGATTGCTGTGTCAAATGGTATCTCCAATTCCAGCTTTCGAAGGAATCACCATACTGCTTTTCACAGTGGTTGTAGCACTTCAGTCCCATCAGCAGTGTATGAGAGTCCCAATCTCTCCACATCCCTGCCAGCATTTGTTATTTTCTGTCTTGTTGAACCTTGCCATCAGTGCTGGGGTGAGATGGTATCTCATTGTTGTTTTGATTTACATCTCTCTGATGACCAGTGATTGTGAATATCTCTTTAAGTATTTGCTGGCTGCCTGAATATCTTCCTTGGTGAAGTGTCTAGTCATGTCTTCTGCCCATTTTTGTTGGAGTTTTCTATCTTAGAGATAAGCCCCTTGCCAGATATGTAATTATCGACAGGTATGAATTTGTTGCTGTCATTTTGTTAAGTGCTTTTTGTGGTGTTGATTTCTTTGTACCATATAATTTTCTGTGCTGAGCTCACTTTGTTTCTGAATCGTGTTATCACTTCCTTCGTTGCTATTGTTTTAGTATTTGCTAAATATTTGTGCTGGTCCTCTTTTTAATTTTGATGTGAAGGTTTATCATATTTCTTTGAGGTTACTCTGTGATTTATAGTTTTCTTCCCAAGTTCAGAACAGTCCGTTCTATCTCATAGTTGTCTTGACTTCCCTACCATCTAGAAATTCTGTAACGACAGTTTTTTCCCTCTCTTTGGTTTGTAGTTGTCCTCATTTGTCAATTGATGTCTCTGGTTCCCTGTTTACAATCTTGTGGGCTTATTTACTTTGGATACTTCTATAGCTGGGTTAGTTTCTGGGTTATATCATCATGTGTGTTAATGGTCAGTTGTTTGCTCTTGTTGGTTCTCTGTCCAAAGGACTTCCTTTAGCATCTCTTGTAAGGTTGGTCTGGTTTTAACAAATTCCCTTAATTTCTGTTTATCTGGAAGTGTCCTAATTTCACCATCATATTTGAGGGACAAGTTTGCCGGGTATGTAATTCTTGGTTGAAAATTGTTCTCTTTAAGGGTTTTATATATACCATCCCATTGCCTTCTCACTTGCATGGTTTCTGCTGAGAAATCAGAATTTACTCTTATTGGTTGTCCTATGTAAGTAACTTTTCATTTTTGCTCTGCTGCTTTCAGGATTCTTTGTTTGTCTTTGGTTTTGATGAGTTTGATGATGATATGTCTTCATGATTTTCTCGGAGGTCTGTCCTGTTTGGGGTTCTTTGGACTTTTTGAATGAATATATTCTCATCTTTCGTCACACGGGGAAAATTCTCTTCCAAAAAGTCTTCGACAATTTTCTCTGGTTTTATTTGTCTGTTCATGTTCTAGAATTCCGATTATATGTAGGTTATTCCTTTTTATGGTATCCCACATGAACCTTAGGCTTTCTTCATTTTGTTTTGATCTTTTTTCCTGATTGATTCCTTTCCAAAGAAGTATTGAGTATCGAGGTATTTGCCTTCAGTCTCACTACTTCTGTCTTCTATTATTGATTCAGTTCTACTCCTTTGCCTGTTCAATGTGTTACCCATTTCTGAAAATTTAGTACTAATCTTCTGGATTTCTGTGTGTAGATTTTGTATAATTTCTAATTTCTCGTTTATTATGTCATTTTGTTCTGTATTGTCTTTCTAAATTATTCTAGGGTCTTCTCTGTGTTTTCCTCAATTTTGTCAGTATTTTCCTTGATTTGTCTCTTAATTCGTTGAAGTTACTAAATATAATTTTTTTGAATTCCTTATCAGGGAGTTCCATTGCTGTATCTTCATCAGGGATGTGTTTTTGGTTTGTATATCCTGTTACTTTATTTCTCCTGCTTTTTTATCTTGCTTCTTTGTGTGGACTATGATGCTCTGTTGTCTCCAAGGCATTGTGACTTTTTGTGTTTATATTTAATTGGTGATTGTATGTTGGAGTGACTTGCCCATGATTTTTGTTTTCTTTGTATGTTATCTACGTAAGCAGGTTACTGTGCTTTGCGCCTCTATTTGCTAGTTGGCAGCACTTACACATTCACCACCTGTCTCCTTTCCTGTTGTCCGCCTCCCATATATCCCTGCCATCCTTGGCAAGCAGAGCCTATTCTTAAATCCCCGGAATCCACATGAAAATGCTATCACTTTAAAATCCAAAATGGCCACCGCTTGTAAACATTCAAAATGGCTGTACCCTCAGTCATTTTAAATATCCAAAATGGCAGCTGCCTTTAAACATTTAAAATGGCCGCACTCTCGGTCACTTTAAATATCCAAAATGGCCACCGATTGTAAATAGTCAAAATTGCTGCTCCGTTCGGATGGCCAAAAGTCCGTAGCTTAGGTTGTCTCCCTCCTTGCTGTTTCCCTTCCTAGTCATAAGCCTCAAGCACAGTTGCCATGGCAGCCCTTGGTGACCAGGACTGATATTTAAGTCAATTCTCAGGTTCCAGCACCATTTGGAAATGTTCAGACTGTTGGTCCCATCAGAGTGGCTGACAGTCCACTGCTCCTACCGTCTCTGTACTCACTGGCTTCATTAAGGTTTTTCTACTAGTTAGTGCCTAATCCATTTCCGTATCGTTCTTTCAAAGCTCAGTGTTCCAGGATTATCTTCTGTATCTCTGTCAATTGGTTTCTCTTTTCTTTGTTCAAGAGTATCTTTGTCGCTTATCAGGCTATCCCTCTGGAAGTCTCCCGAAATTCTTAATCATTTTTAACAATGGACCTTGCATTTTTTGTGATTTGGAAAGTTTACAGAGCAAATTGGTTTTCTATTCACTGATCCATACATGTTCTGTTTTGTGTCATTCCTACAGTGAAACAGCAATCCTCCCACTTCTTCCCTGTGCCTAACTCTTCCCTTCATCTTTCCTTTCCATCCCCTCCCATCTTCCTAGATCTATCCCTGGGCAAATGCTGTCCTCTTTGTCTCAATTGCTTAGTTGTTCTATTGAGTACATAATCTTCCTGGTATTATTTTTTTGCCTTATAGACTTGTTGTTTGGCAGTTAGTCATGGTGATTAAGATTAGTCTTGGGGGTTCCACCAGTCTTCATCAGACCAGTAAGCCTGGTCTTTTTATTTTTATGATTTTGAGGTTTTTTCCTACATTTTCCTCCACTCTATCCTGGACCTCCTATTGTGATCCCTTTCAGAGTGGTCAGCAGTGGTAGCCAGGCACCATCTAGTTCTGGTCTCAGGGTTGTAGAGGCCAGGGTTCATGTGGTTCATTAGTCCTTGGGTTAACTGTTTACTTGTGTCTGTGATTTTCTTCACTTTTCTTTGCTCCGGATGGGGAGAGACCAGTAGTTGCACCTTAGCTGACTGCCCATAAGCAATTAAGACCCCAGTCGCTACTCATCAAAGTAGGACGTAGAACATTGTCTTTGTGGACTAAGTTATGCCAATTGACCTTAGGCTTACGCTAATTATTATTAGCACATCACATTTATCCTTTTTGAAAAAAACAGCTTTATTGAGATATGATTGATACACAATAAATTAACATACTTAAAATGTACTATTTGGTGTGTTTAGACATATGTGTCTATCTTATGAAACCCTCATGACAACCATCATCCCCAAAAGTATCTTTTGATCTCCTTAGAGATTCCTTCTCCTGGTTTCTCCTTTATTTTCTTCTCTGTTCCTTGGCAACAACTGATTTGCTTTTTCTCACTATGTTGTTGTTGTTATATGCCGTCGAGTCGACCCCGACTCATAGCGACTCTTCCTTGGGTTTCTGAGGCACTATCACTACAGAAGTAGGATTGTCCAACCTTCCTTCCAAGGAGTGGTTGGTGGGTTTGAACTGCCAGCCTTCTGGTTAGCAGTCAAGTGCCTTAAGCACTATGCTACCAGAGCTCCTTGTTCTCACTATAGATGGCTTTTTATTTCCTAGACTTTAGATAAATGGAGTCATGTAACATGTATGTACTCTGTCTTGTCTGCCTTTCACTTAGTGTAATTAGTTAGAGATTTATCCAGGTTATTGTGTACACCAGTAGTTTATTCTTTTTTTATTACTGTTTAGTGGTTCATTCCAAACTATAGTGCCATAGTTTGATTTACTAGTCACTTATTAAAGGACATTTTGGTTGTTTCAGCAACCTCAAATGCAATGCAGTGCACTGCCATGAAGTTGGATCTGCCTCATAGCCACCCCTCCTTGTGTTTCCAATGTGGTATCACTATGGAAGTAGATTGCCCAACCTTCCTTTAGAGGAGTGGCTGGTGGGTTTGAACCTCCAGCCTTCTGGTTAGCAGTCAGATAGATGCCTTAGGCACTATGCCACCAGAGCTCCCTCAGGAAAGGGGAGCTGACA